TTTCAGATGAGGAATCGTCTATGGAACAATCTGTTTGCTATAACCCTGCTGATAATTGTGATTTCCCTAGATAAATTCCAATGAGCAATTTTGCTTCTCCTTGTGTAATGTCTTGGAGAAGATTCCAGAAAGAGGGCAGATAAAGAATGAAAACTGGCAAGGCAGTTTCTCTGCTTCCAGCTTCCTGGGCCAAAAACAGAAAAAGAAGTTCCTGCTGTTTGATTTAATAAGAATCAGTGTCTAGCTCTAGCCTCGATCGCCGGGCCAGTCAGACTCAATTGGCGTAAAAGCCGTGTTTCCGAATGCCTGCGTTTCATTTCAGCACACACGTGAAACTCCCTCACGCCTTTCCCCGAGGGCACAAACCAGCACTGCTGTGCTGCGGTGCCCCTTGTCCAATCCGTGTAATTTGTATCTTTTATGTCAGAGCTTAATTTCACCTTTATGTCATTTGCATTCTTTAATTTTCACTAATTGTATGCTTGGAAATGTGTCATCACCATCTATAGGACAATGGTTGAGGTTTCCTTTTCCGGGTTTCCCCCTCCTGCAGTTGGTCCAGCATCGAATTTGGAAACTGCTTACATGGGTTCGCACGCTCTTGCCCACGGACTTTATTCTCCTGTTTCTAAGCACTGATTACGTCTTTTCATTTTGGATCTGTAGCCCTAGTTGCAAAAAAATGTTGTGTTCATTCATCTCCTCTTTTTTGACTTCTACTGAGTAAACACTCATGCCACACCCAAGAGAAAAGCTTAGAAAATTCCTTTAAAAAAATCAGCCAGCCCATAAGAAAATTGCCCTTCCTTTAATTAAAAAAATAATAAAAATCTTTAAGTTGCATTCTAACACCGCTCTGGTCATAATATACCTTGGGAAATGCATTGAAATTAGTTTATGTCTTTATGTCTGTAGCTCTTTGTTCTTTTGGACTGTGGAGCACAATCCGAGCTAGGGCAAGGGCAGAGACAATGGGAGAAAAATCAAGTTTTCTGAAATAAACTTCAAGGCTCCACCAGAGACTTGGAGCGAGTTCTGTTTCTACGACACAACAAAGCCTCAACGACTCCCCCAGGTCCCTCAGCAGCGTGGCCAGCCCGGAGCAGCGCCCCAAGTCCTGACTTTCTGTCCCCTCCCCTCACCACCAGCCCCTCTTCCCTCTGGTGTCACTGGCACTCCTCAGGGGGGTGGATGGTAGGGGTGTAAGGGACTCTCTTCAAGGTCAGCAGGAATGTCATGCAGAACCCATCCCTGGGTGGCTCAAGCTGTGAGTTGTAATCTCCTCTATAACCTTTATAGGCTTTTGATGAAAAGCACAGTCACGCAGAGGGAAAAAGTCAACTGAGGGTTTTAAACAGTGGCTCAAATGAGGCTGGCTAATACCACCCCACTTTGCATTCTCTTTCTCCCTGAAATAGTGAGGGTTTCAGGTCATTTTCAGTGTCAGGTCATTGTCAGATAATCCTTAAAAAGAGAGTGCTAAGAACAAAGAAACCAAATCAGGAAAAAATAAAAGTAAAAATAAAAACCTCTGACCAAACCAAGCCTCTAAATATAACTTTTCCACTTACCTCAATGCAGATAATTCTAAGATATATATTTCTGATTCTATTCATTCTGCTGAAAAGAGAAAGACCACACCAGGGTAAGCAAGGCAGGGTGGTCAGGATGCATAATGTAATGACAGTGTGTGGAAGCCACTACAGAAGACGGCAGGAGAGCTGCCAGATCGTGCGGTGGGGCCGAGGGGCTGATTTCTATGCAGAGTCCACCGATCTTTTCCAAGTGTGGACAGCTCTTACTGAAATGAAAATAGAAAATGCAGGACCAGAGCCCACACTGAATATTCAGTTTAGTAAAGACACGAAACTGCCCGTGGAAGTAGAAGGCATTCAGCCATGCTATCCTTAACAGAGAAATGAGCCTGCATGCTGCAATCTTTTTGTGACGAGGCTGGGAGCCTGTCAGTCTTCGTGAAATAACACTGAACTGATGTCTGTTCTCTGCGCATTTTCTTCCTAGTGCCTGGAATGATGCTTTCCTGAGCCAAAGGATTTGTTTGCAATTACATGCTTTTGAAAAATAGGAAGAATCCACAGAGATCAAGAAATGGATAGCTAATGCAATTATTCCAAAAGGATAGAAGTACAGTCATTGTAAGGTACTTGTTACTTCTCCCTGTCCACAGTCCTCTTTCCTACTAAGCAAACTGTCTAACTACTAAAATCTTGGCACATCGCAGGAGAATGTGGAAGCACAACTACGTGGTTTCAGCGAGATCGTGTCTAGAAAAGACCATAAGTAAGTTTTACCAGAGACCAGAAAGGCTGCACAGGAAAACTGAGAGGTTGGTGAGTGGGAGTTAGGTTTCCCTCACATGTATTTTAATTCTGTGGGCTCTCCAAATTCCCCTTTAGGCTTGGGAGAAGTGGCCACTGTCCATTAGTTAACAAGAAATGCACGTTGTAACTGAGAAATGCTGGGCAATCGAGGTCTCCGATTTGCTGTTTTTATATCTAGACAGCTTTAATACATAAGATTATCTATACAGATATATAATCTCTATATATTTATGATTATATATAATATATATTTTAATGAATATATATATGTGTGTGTATATATATCCATTAAACTAATTTTCTTTTAAAAAGTCCCTCTGCTGACAGCTCTACTACTGTCTGGCTCGCCATCACATCCTTCCCCAGCCTAGACACAGGCAGAGGGGTCCTGAGTAGCCCAAGGGCCCATTTGAGTCTCTTCTACCCAGAAGTCTTGAAGGACAGGGAGTAGAGCACCCTCGTGGGTGGATGCTCTTCCACCTGACTATTCTAGGCCCAGGATGTAGCCGAGGCCTTGCACTGGGTCAATGATGACCAAGGACCAGTGATACCAAGGACCACAGCCAATGCAGCAACTGCCTGAAGACAATCCCAGGGGTTGCTGATCACCCTCTTGAGGCCTACCATCTATTCGCAGTAGCCACCTCTAGGCCCATGTTTAACCAACATCTCGTGAGTGGCAGGCTACCAAAGATACACTTTGCATGAATCGCACAGCCTCTGCTATCAAGGCCCACATTGCCCCACACTGAGGGCAGCCTGGGAGAGTGAGCCTTGTTCTCGGCCCAGCTCTACTGCTCACGAGCTGGGAAGCTCTTAAAGTGCATAGTCTCTCAATGGGAAGAGAGGAATAAACTCTTTTCTGCTGCACTGCTGTGAGAATCAAGGAGATCATGAAGGCAGAAGGGCTGGCAAAATGTAAAATACAGACAAATGCAGTTATATTCACAGTAGTTATCAGAGTTCTGTGCATGGTCACCAAACAGCCCTTCCTATTTTTTAAATTAGTAGATACTAATTAGTACATAGAAGATACTCTTTTTAGTCAATATTGGTATTAACAACTGTGTGATAAAACAGGGAGTTTTGAATTCCAGTTAACTCCAAGGACCTTTGAAATTTCATTCTTAACTCAGCATTATCATGTGCCTACTGACTTGTTTACTATGCAATGTTGTGAATATTAACTATATTATCAAATTGTTATTGTCACAGGCTGTTAGTCTGTTAATATAAACTTTGCAAAACAGCATGTGCATCGACTAAAACAATGTATTGTTACCTCTTATTCTTTCAGCATTCAAGATATTTATGTAATATCAAAGTAGTTTAAATGGCACTGTTTTTTTTTTTTTCCGTAAATGTGCTTCTGCTTACCCCATAATTGTTTGAGTATTTTCCTGGTAATTCAGTAAACATCTTAAAATTTAACAAAATTAACATTTTGTGCTTCTATGTTTACCAAAAGAGCTTATCAAACTGACAAATTAGATAATCTTAAAAAAAAAAACGAAAGGAAAAACTGTTCTTATTTCAAAGGTTCAAAAAATAAAGGTTATTTACTATGCAGACCTCGAACGCTTGTTGTTTTTAAGACAGCAAATTAGAAAAGCATGGCCAGCATGAGAGGCCACTCAGTCAGGTTGAGGCTGGGGCGTTTGTCCCAGCAGCTCTTGTTCCCCAAATTACATCTGATAATGTTCTAAAGCCTAAACACATTTGAGTTCAAAAAAGATACTCAGTGCTTAGATATAAAATAGCACGAAACTTCCAAATACCAACAGGTTTACCCACCCTCTCCAACTGATGTATTTGTATTTGGAGTAAACTGCAGCTCAGTCCCTCCACGCCGTGGTATCTGAGGAACTGAAACTTGAGCTGGAATGTTTGTTTTGCATTTTCCTGTGCATAATCACAGGAGAGGGCATTAATGAAGGGGTTGGTGTGTTGGCCACTGCTGAGGCCTATTATTTAGGAGAGTCGTGGCAACAGAGCAAAGCTGGATGTTCGCAAGTGTAACATAATTTCAGCCTGTATTGTGTTGAATGGGTGAGAAGACAAATGTGTCAACAGACACAGGGTGTATGCTATTCAAAACCAGTTGAAAATGATCTCTGCACTTGCTGAGAAATATAGATGCTGAAAACAACATCTATATTTTTCAATAATTCAACCAAGATTCATGATAGGTATCCCCTTAAACTGGCTACAAAAATATTATCTGTAAGCAAGATGGCGCCCAGAAAAGTTAAAATTGGCAAAATCCCATTGAACTGCATTTTGGAGAGAGGAGGGACTTGAAGTGGTAGTGCTCTGAGGATGTCCACGTGGGTGGTCAAGCATATGGTGCTGCTGAGCAGAGGAAGTGGTACACCAAGATTTCTTCATAAGCGCGAGGTCTTTATAAACTCATCTTTATGGGGGCAGTTTTAAATAGAACGAAAATGACACAGAGTCCCCAACCAGGCTTCCTAACTGTTTGGAGAGGGTTGCCACTTTCCCAAAACATTAGGTTACTGTGGGGGAATTTTCCAAAATTGTCAACAATTCCATTTTTAAACTTAGTTCTTCCTCTCCACTTAAGACAGATGCAAGGCAGTGTGAACTATATTTGGTCTAGTAGGAGATGTAAGTTATTTTTACCATGCTGACTCCTACCTGACAGTGGAAGACGTATTCTGGTGTGGTCTTCTTGAACTTCATGTTCCAAACCAAGGCCACTCCATCCGGTTCATGAGGAGCATCTTCATTGTTGTTGTAGGAAGCGACCATCAGCTCCGGGTACTGAATAGAGGAGGTCACAAGGATGCATTATGCCAAAATGACAACACAAAGAAAACTTTCTTCATTCGTACAGACACATGCTATAGGACATACTTTCAATGTCTACTTCCTTTTTAAGTTGTGGCATACCTCATACCAACTTCATGCCTCGCAGTATTGCATTCTGGTTTCTGCCTCCAACACACCGTGTGTGCTCACTGTAGTCGCCAATAACTACCAAATTGCATGCACGGCTGGGCCTTTCCGTATTAACTGACATTTGGGCTGCTCCTTCCTCTCTCCTGTGCTGGCTTCCAGTACACATGTGTCCCCTGATTTTCTTCCTCCTGCCCACTCTTTTTAGTCCCTATAGGTTCTCCTTCTATTATCTATGTTTCAAGGAAGCTGTTTTATGCCCCATTATTTTTTTTGTCTCTATCTGCATATTCTCCCTGGGTGGTCTCATCTACTCTGATGGCTTTAACAAGCATTAATATGCCGACAATGTTCAAATCTGTATCTTTAAACTTGATTTCTCTCTTAGCTGCAGATCCTTATACCTCGCTGCCCACTGGGCACTTCTCAGAGCTGTCCATAGACACATCAGGTGCAATGGGTAGAAAACTGAGTGCACTGACTTCTACAAAAACCTGCTCTTTCAATGTCCCCTCTTTGGGTGCCTTTCACTAATGTTCGCCTAGTTGCCCAGGATAGATCCTCCACGTTCATTTTTACTCCTTCCTCTTTCTCAACCCGTGTACTGTGTTTTACTACATCCCCAATGCCTTTCAAATGCATGTTTAATTCTCATCCTTAAGGTGGCAGCCTCCCAAACTAATGTCTTCTCTGAATGAAGGCAACAGCTTCCTAAACGGCTCCTGGCTTCCAGGCTCTCCAGGCCCTAGCCTCACCTCCTCCACTCTCCATCTTTGTCACTACGGCTTTACAAAACAAACATTTGGCTAAGTCATTCCTTTGCTTAAAATACTTTAATAGCTTTTATTACTTGCAAAATAAAATGCAGATCATATAGGATGATCTTTCATGAGCTGTCATTTTCTCCCTCTTCTGCTTAATATCTCACAGCCTCCCTGCCCACCTCCCACCCCCACACTCTATAATCCAACCTCACCGTGTCAGTGCTGAGGGTCATAGGCACAGGCTGTGCACCTATGAGCCTGCTACTCTTATCGGAATGCCTCTCCTGTATTGTGTACATCATTAACTCATTTTTAAGATGCAATCAGGCATCTAGTCCTCTAGACGATCCTAATGAACCATCTACCACACCTCCTTGCCTCTCATTGTCTCCCTTAACATTATGTGCATCCACCCATTAATGCACTTACACTGTATTATTTTCCCCCCACCTATGTCTCTTAAAAGTTTGTAAGCTCTCTAAGTATAGGGACTGGTTTTTGTTGCCCTTGAAACTAGGGCCTATTAACTCCTACTACATGATAAACTTGTACAAAAATTGATTGCATTACAAACGCTCTGTTTTTATTTTAGTAACTCTGCTCAGTGGAAAGACCTTATATTTAGTCCTTCATAGTCAAATACTTCCAGCAATTAAAAGCATAAGTGGAAGAAACACAACCAGTAAAACTACAAGGACTCTACAGTGAGTAGAAATACCTACTCACCCTAAGTGATCTCTGTGCTGTGTGTTAATAAACAAATTGCGGGTGAATCTTGTGGGAGGTATTCATGAGGTAGACAGCATTTCATTAAAAGGCCATTCCTATCTGGGATTTCCATAAGGCAGCCTCACTAAAAATTGTATCATTACATATGCAATTATATTAGGATTATAGTATACCCTTTAACTCATAGGTAATTTGTTTTTTTTTCTTATATTTCACTATGCTTTGTGAAGCATAGTGAAAAGCATATTTAAAAGTAGATTATCCTTATAAATTTGAACATCCACTTTTTTCTATCAACAATAATTAAACCTAAGTCCTCTGTGTGGCTCTATTCATCCTGCAAGCTCCCTCAGTTTAAGAACACTGCCGAGCTACAACTTGCTGGCTGATGCAGAAGGAGTGTGAGCCTACAGTAGATGCATGTGGCCATCAGTGGACGTAATCACTCTTTATTAAAAAATGCTCCTCAGTGGCTAAATCAAAGGCCCCTTCAAAGACACTAACATCCAGATAAACACAGAGTCTCCAGGCTGTCCAGCTGAAGTTTAACGATGTCACATGTAGAAAGGCAACTCTCTAAACATCAGCACCACTGCCGGAGTGGCCGGGCAGCAGCCAGATGCGTCTTGAATGATATCCCACGGCTCCACATCTGGGTCTCATCGTCGGCTCCCACTCGTAGCTTTCCTTTTTCCCACTAAAAATATTTTAAATTATTTGGGTTTAAAACTCCTTTAGAAAACAGGGGGAGTTTTAGTAAAATACCAGTGAAATGCCTTTGATGTAATTTCTCTAATTGGGATCATAAGTCCTAAAGATACAGATGTAACCCTTATCGCATGTAAGATTTTACGAATTCCAAGTCTCTTCTAGCATGCTTCTTTCTGTTCTTTGTTTGAATGGGACTAGTCATATTTTCTTATTCCCCAATAAAAAGTAATCTCTGGACAATTATTTAAACTTTAAATGTTAAAATTATAGTTTTAAAGAGAATGTGAACAATTATGAAGTCTGTGCTTACTCATGGGGCTGGATTATGTAATGGTTAACCTAGGAGAATTTTACCTGAAAATTACCAAATCTGCTCTCAAGCTGTTTCTTCTTACAGAGAAATAAAATCTGACATTTACCGGAGAAGGAGGAATCAACCTGTTTTAAGCGCCCACTATGTGCCAGACACTGAGCTGGGAGCTCTATTAACTCACTTGGTCCTTGCAGCCCTCTAAAGTAGCAATGGTTTCCCTGTTTCTGCAGATGAAGAAGCCAAGGGTCCCTGGGTGAGTCACTTGTTCTGAGTTATATTGCTAATAAGTGAAGAAGCGAGACCCCTATTTAAAGTCTGTTTGGCTTTGAAGTCCGCATCCCTTCCAGGCCACTGTAGCTGGCGTCACGTGCCTCCCATGCAGGTGGAAGGCACCACAGCAGGTAGCAGGTGGAAGAAGAATGTAGTAATAACATGCTTTGCCTCACAGGAACTCACTGTTAAGCAGAGGGAGGTAAGTCCGACACACATATGTATAACTATAACACAGACTTAAAAGCAGAACATGATGCATGCGAAGATGGGGTTGTAAGCAAGATTCTGTATGAGTACAGTGGATAAAATCAAATAACCACTTTATTTGGAATGGGGTGTGGCAAGGAGAGGAATTGGAAAGAACTTCTGAAAAGAAATGAGACTTGAGTTGGGCTTTGTCCAATGGGCAGGTTAGTAGGAGAGAAGGTAGAGGTCAGGATGCACAAGGCTACCAAGATCGGGGCAGGAGATTTCTCTTGGGTGTGATTCCCCCCATGTTTGAAGATAATTTCACTGAACAGCTGCCTAACTTCCCAGGGACAATTCTTTCATTGCCGGGTTGATACGCCCAACGGGGCAAATCACATTCTCTAAGCTGGCCACCATGAGTTTAGAACTGAGACACAGAACCCAGGGGCTGGCACATCAGCCAAGGAATGACAGCATTTTATTGGTGAGGTCCTTCAAGCTGTGCAAATTTCTGCTCTTCCCGAGTCCCACCCAGTTCTTCATCTTTTCCATGGATTCCCTACGTACCTTAGTGGCTCTCCAATAAGTCCCCTCTTTTGCTTAAGCTAGTGAAAGGTAAAGTTTTCCTAACTAATGCAGTGAAGAACAGGCTCAGGAGACCTCAGATTGTTGCATTTGGCTGGGAGCCAGAGTGTGTGAGAGGTAAAAAGGAGGAAAGGATTGAAAATGTCTTGGGGCTTCCTCACAGAAGTTACTGCATGTAGGCTAGTGGTTACACTTTACTCTATGGATGGCGGAGTCATACTCTGCAACTATTCATATTTCTGCTACGAATACTCCTCCCACTGTCACATTTATTGAGCTCTTTTTATGTACTAGACATTTTTTAATTCTGAGTGCTTTAAGTATTATACATTCATTCATTCAATAGTCACAGTAAGCATGTGAGCTAAGTATTATGATCATCATTTTATGAATGGGGAAACACAAGCCAAGAGAAGTCAGGCAACATGCCCACGGTGATATTGAGAGCATATAAGTAATCTTTATAAGTGTTAATCTTGGGGGGGAGTACTTATGATGACTCAGAAGTGTACAAACTTGAGGCAGGAAGAACAGTTAGGAAGCTGTTTCCTAAATAAGCAAGAAATAGAGGGCACAGCATAAGGTAGGTGTCAAATCCACACATTAGTGGAATGGGATGGGTGTGGGTGGGAGTCTTCTTGCTACTGTAAATTTAATTGCATTTGGCAACTCAAAAAGCTGTCAAGAATTTCTCCAGTTTGTATCATGATGATTGAAAGGTTGGAGAATGCAATTTACGTGTGAAAGGAGCATAATTTGGTGGGGCAAGACCATGAGTCTGGCTTTATACAAGTCTGGGAAACCTGTCACATACTGTGTGGATAGTATTACTGACCGTCTCTGTTAAACAATGTTCCGTGAATGCCAAAGTTGATGTAATTCCCCAAGTGCCCAAATTTCTTCCAGGAAATAATGTATGGTGGATATTTTGAAAACATTGCAAACTTAAAGTGTTCTTGTTCATGAAGCGCAGGAGATCAAAGCAAAGCTATACACGAACCTCATACAGCAGGTCCTCAAATAACATTGTTGCATTACTATGATGTTGTCTCCCCTGTGTTCCTTTCTGTTCCACTCAGGCCACTATCCTAGCACGTGTGACCCTACTAGAACGCAAGACTGTGTTTCTATCCTTCCCTGTTAATATCACTGGATTGCATCTAGATCCATTCAGGAACTCTCTTCATCCCATATGCTTATAAACATGGTCCTTTGAACCCCACAAAAGTGTTATCAAGTAGGAGTGGAAGGTTCTAAATCCTTTATCTCGTACTCTGTGTAAAATACATTTTTTCAGAATTGCAAACCCTCTTCACAACAGTGTAGATGGACAGCTTACACAAAAATTGGAAAAAAATAATGTGGTCTCTCCGTGGTGGAGTTCCTGCCCTTTACAGTTTCACTTCCTGCGACAAGAACACCACACAGAACGCTGTGTGGAAGCAAATGCATCCATGAGCAAGATGCCCATCACACGCTGAGGCCGGGAGGGACTGGCAGCTGACGCGGGCCCTGCAGCCTGCCGAGGGAGCGCGGCCAGCCGGCCCAGGAACAAGGAGAAGTTGCCTTTGAGGAATGTGTCCGATAAGATTCCTGTGTGATTTCCAAACTCTGAGTAAGTGAACAAGCCAAGTGAAGTGTCTTCTCGGGCTTGAATCTGATTTCTGTGCACACACCCGAGAGCGTGCTCACAGACCACCCCCACACTGGGGAGAAGTGGCCGGACAAACCCTGCTTGTGTTAGCATCTGTGCAATTGGGCACTGCCTGCCCTGCTGTTAGGGTGTAAAAGGAGATGCAAGAGCAGAGAACACTCACCCACTTGGTGGTTGATGACAGCCCAGTTGTGGGGGATTACTCTCCTCTTCAGCCCTCCTGTTCTCCAGTATAACTACCTGGGGCTCTTCATGTCATGTTTCACTGGCTGCCTAGAACAGCCTCTTCTCCCCCTTCGTTTGTCTAAATCCCAGTCTTCCGAGAAGTCTTGTCTGACCAGAAACAGAGCCCAGCCTCCACTGAACTCTGACAGCAGCTGCTACCTGCCCCATATCATTCAGCACTCATCACCGTCCTTGCTTCCAGATTCATAAGCCCTTCGTGGGAGGCAGTGGTGAAGGGCGTATGCCCTGAAGTGCTAAAAGGCTTGTGTTCAAATCCCCACTCTACCACATCCTAGCTGGGTGACCTAGCAAATTACTTAGTTTCTCTGCGCTTCTGTTTCCTCAGCTGTAACATGGAGACAGTAATAGTGGCCACCTCATATGAAATAGGATAATGCCATCAGAGCAGTTGGCATAGTGTTTATTAGCACATAGGAAACACAAACTAAAAAGCTAGCCATGATTATTATTCTTAATAAAAGCATAGACTACAACAAAGCAGAAACTGTGTTGTACCTAAATGGCTAGCACTCGTCACTCCTACTCCCCTCATTGCTATGATGCCACTGTCATTGCAGGAGGGAACAAAATGTGATGAGAAACCATCTGGGTTCAAATTCTGCCCAGACCACACAAGGCTGTGTGTCCGTGTGCACACAATGTGTCTGCTCCGCACTGGATGAGCTGCCAGCTAGTTGGGTTGGCTACTCAGCAAATCGGCTTTGGGTAAATGTGTCTGCCTTCACTCCAAAGGCCACGCTCAGGGGTTTAGACATTTTTCTTATTCATAATGGGGAGTTTTAATCAAAGGGAGTGAAGTATTCAGATTTGCAATTTAGAAAGATTACAGTTGACCCTGGAGCAACATGGATTTGAACTGAACAAGTGCACTTTCTAGGCTAATTTTTTCAATAAATATGTAGCCAGCCCTCCATATACCTAGTTTTTGAACTCACGACTGGGAATCTGTGGAAGTGGAGGGCTGGCTGTATGCACTGTTCTACACCATCTTTCAGAGGGTACTTGAGCATCCACAGACTGTGGTATCTGTAGAGGGAAGGGGAGGGCTGGGCCTGGAAGCAATCCCTTGTGGATACCTTAGGGACAATTGGGAAGTCAGAGGTTATATGCAGACCACCTGTGTGAGGTGGTGGGGGGGCAGGGTACAGATGTTGGTGTCCTTAACCCTGTCATTGCTCAAGGGTCACATGTATTTGGTTAGATGTTCAGAAGGAAAACTATGGGTGGGCAAGCATAGGATAGAAGGTCAGCAATTTCACAGGTGTAAGGTAAGTGATACATGAGTAGAGAAATGGACAGTTCTGGGGACAGAGCGGGCCTGAGAGATAAGGGAGAATAAGTCTCTAATGTTAATGATGAAAGTTTTGCATTGGCCTTTGGGTATGGCTTTAATACAGAAAGAAGGTAATAGGCAAAAAAGGATTTGGAATTTGTGGAAATAATGAGTTAACCACAAGGGTGGAAGAGAACACAGAAGTCTTAGAGAAGTCTGAGAACTAGAAGAGAGTAGAACTGCAGAACTCAGTGGAAGGATATTGTTTTTAAAAGTAGGGGGAAGTCAACTAGACTGATGACAGAGAGAAGCCAGGGTGAATGAAGGCATAAATTTCCATAGGATTTGAGAAATAGGACATCATTGGTGACCTTAAGGAGAGCAGCTTCAGAGACTGAATGGCCTGAGTTCTGGTGTGGTACCCAGCACATAATAAGTGCCCAGTGCACATGAGTAGCAGAGTGTAAAATTTAACCCAAAACCTCAGTAAAATAAGGAAGACAACCAACAGGCACAGAAAAAAAAAGTATAGGTTGGTGAACATATATCCACAGAAGTGGAGCAAGTCTCTCTTATTTTTAAAAATGTTTTCTGTATAAATGCCATGAGAACAGAGGCCCAGTTTGTCCCACCCCAGCAATAACCTTACCTGGAGAGACCAGTCCATACAAGTGACCACTCGGTGCTTGGACCAACGCTCATCATAGAACTGACGATTGAAAGAAAGGTTGGCTCCAGCCTGGACATCCCTGGTGGGGGGAGGGGTTACATATGAAAGATAAATATGATGCTTCGGAATGGGGCTTTATCTCTTCTGCTAATACCGAAAGAATTAAATGGCCAAAGCAGGGCACTCCCTGAAGCCAAAGCAACCATTTAGACAGCAAACTCTGATCACAAATAAATAAAGTATCGAGGGTCTCCTTTATGAAAAGCGCTCTCTAACCTGGCCCAGAAAAGGTTTCCACATGTTGTTCCAAGCCTGGTGTGCAATGTCCAGTTTGTTTCAGGTTCTCATTTTGACCAGTCCTAAAGGATTCTTTTCTTCTTAATGAGTTCTCTCTTGAAACAGAGTTACTAGAAATTTCCCAGCTGTTGAGGGAGCACAGCATGCTTGGAGATTCTTTGACAATAATGCCCCCTTATCTAGCCTTTGATCAGAGATGATATACATGCTTCTCTTCACCAGTAATTTCTGATTGGCAGTACTGGTTGCCTCCCTGCTCAATAGCAAGTGGTAAGCTCTACCATGAGAAAGACATGGTGGTGAGTGGGGGATTCACTGAGTGTATTAGATATTTCACACAGACTAAAGCAGCATCTGGGTCTAGAATTACACTTTGGCCACGTTAACGTGGCCGACACTCAGCTGGCCTCAAAACTCCTCTGAAGACCTCTGCATGGGTCATGCCCTTGCTCTGTAACATGGAGTGTTTAAACTGAGGGATGCTTGTTTTCTGCCAGCAGTTTTTGGACGTGCATAAAAAGCTGCCTCAGTTTCTTGAGCTTCAGTTTAGGAATTCCTTCACACTCCCCTTTTTTTCTGTTCATTCGCTTTATTTCGTTCGCATGCATCCTGCATCACCTGTCTTATGTAGCTCTTGTTCAGACCGGGTGACCTGGCTGGAGATTATTTACTGTGGCTTGAATTAGCTGATATATTTGGAGGGGCTTCTTCTCCCTTCCTGTGAACCCTTCCACACCTGCACCACTGCAAACTCGGGCATAAGGTACATGCACCCAAGTAATTGTCAGGAAGCCAGAGTAACACTGGGCCTGGCACCCGAAAGAAAATAGGACCCAGAAAATCAACAAAGGCAGAGAGCAGACCTTTCTAAAAGAAAACAAACATCTCATAACAGGTATATTGAGAAGACTCTTATCTCTTTGAAGTAAGCTCGGGATGTTGTCAACTCGTAAGAGTAGTTTCAGAACTCCCTTGTGAAGCTGTAGTTGGAGCCTCTCTTATATATATTCCTTTGAGTGTCTTCAATGATGATAGGTTGTCCTTTAAGAATGTATTTGAATCTTAGAAATAGCAAGAAGTCAGGTCTGATGAAAAGGACAGGTCATCTCACCTTTTCCTATTGTTCTCGGCATAAAGAAATTGGTGACCACAAACCAGCTATTTCTATTTCTTACAGAGCTCCCGACTATCCCCACGAGGACAGCTGGCAGCCACTGCCTTTTATGATATACATGTTGCCATCACAGGCAAAGTCATTTGAGGCCATTTGCTTTTATTGATCAGCTTTTTGTTTGTTTTATCTGTAAGCATATCCCTGCATCTGTGTTTCCTAAAAGTCCCAGACACAGAATGTTATGGTGTTTCCCGTTTCTGTTCACTGTCACCCACATTAGTCAAGGTCTCTAGATCTCATGTTTTCTTCCCTCAGTTTCCTGTTTGCTTAGACATAAAAATAGATCTACTGGATATAACACAAATCTCCTTTTGCTGCTTATGAGAATGTTTTCTCAGAAGACAATGTACATGACTCTGCCACCTGGACTGTTCCCCAGATATCAAGTTCAAAAGCATTTCACAGAAGCACACGATAATTACAGGGAAACCCTAAGCCAGAAGTTATAACCAAAGCCCTTAGTCAAAGCTGTTTAGCGAGATCATCTCTGGAATTTCACCCTCCTCTGATTTGCTAGGTATGGGATTTGCCCGAGTCAATACAAATGAGACTTCAAAATCAATAGATGACTTATCGCGGCGTTTGTTTAAAAGCACACAAGAAACTGACCCATCTTTCTCCTCTAACTCCCGGCCGCTGTAGTCGAAGAAGATGTCGGAGTCTTCCGCCAGTGCTCTTTCAATGACCCGGACGGTCCGATCAAAAAAGATGAGAAATTCCTCTGAATGAAGGATCTGCTGCTTCTCTTCCTCTGTCAGCTCCCTGGGAGGGGCTTTTTATGTAAAAAAGATTGTTAGGAAAGAAAAGAAGGACAATTAAAAACATCTCAAGAGGAACCTGACTCTTGAAAGAGATGGCTTATCAGAGGGGTGATAAGACACAGTGAGATAAGCCATTTAAATCTAAATGACTCCCAAATTCACACCACAAATTTTGCAAACGTCTTCACAGCCGATTTTACAAAAAGATTTCATATCTAGCCTAATTACTGTTTGGAAAAGTTGAAAGATTACAAATGAAAATAGATGGGTGGGTTTTTAGCAATCAGCTTTGAATAATGTTATTTTTTTAGAACTAATTTTTAAACAAAGGTGCAATAGTACATAATAGAGAAATCTAAAGCTATGTACATTAGATACTCCTATAAAGCTGCACGTATTAAAGATTGAAAACTATCTGTACTATGATCCTCATGGTACCTTTCCTCTTTCTATTCATTTTATTTTAGATGGTGCAGTGATAGAGCTGACAGGTTGTTATGTAGATTCCACTCAAAATCTGCTTTCACCCAAAATATCTTCTGTTTTTAAACAGACAAATGGAACAAATAAATGCTTCTGTAAAACACCTCACAACTGTTTTTATGCCTTACTTTTTCAGCATGATTAATCTTATTCAACTAATTTTAAAGCTGCAAAAGGAGGCAAAGAAAGGCTAAATAACCGGCAGTATGTCATCCAGTCTGAAAGAAAGTTCACTTCAGAGTCACCATCAAGTTGCATAAGCTGTTCCTTCAGTAGCAGGGTTTACACAAAACACAGAGAAAGGATTAGCAACTCCCCCCACACTGAGAAACCCTCAAGGGCAGAAACTGTCAGCTGAACCTCAGAGGCTCTTCAGGAACCCCCATTTGACCCTCCCGCAGAGACCGACCGTTTGATACTCGCTTGATTGATGACTCTTTCAGGAGGCCCCAAAGTGCCTGGAGTGTAAGCTACAGAGCCATTACAGTTACAGGTGGGGTCTCCAGGGGAATCATTCACCCACGGGCTTTCCCCAAACACCGCCCCCCTACAGCCAGGACCAATGTCAATAGGGCCACATGGTCAGAGGAATCTTTCAGGTACAGACCTGGGGAATAATGTTTTATGTAAATGTTATTCGATTCTATTAATGTTATCTCCGAGTCACTGACCTGAGAAATGGGAGTTGCCCCAAAGCTCTTCTGCAGAGCCATGGCCGGGATCTCAGACTTTTAATGTTCATAATGTCCCTCCTCCCCTGCCCAGACTACAATGCAGGAGGTCTGGAGGGACTCCAAAATCTGTTTTTGTAGAAAAAACTAGAATGATTCTGATTAGTTGGTTCACAGCTTGAGAAACAGTCTCCGGGTAATATCATAACAAAAAAATGATTCATCACTATAGCAGAAGGTCTTCTCCAAAAACAGCGCACCCCATAGTTTCTAAGTATACTTAGAAATATTTCTTTGCTGCTGAAGCCCCCAGAGCCCAAAACATGCCTATGCTAGTGGGAGTCTCCGAGAACCCCCATCAACTTCTGCTGAGCAGTGCCCCTGGACACTAGTTTGTGAAACAGTGGAACTGGCAATACGTGGACTGTGAATAAAAAGAACTTTACAAAACCAACCTGGAATCCAGCATTTCCTGTGCTGGATATTAGGTTTGATTCTTTAATCAGTTGAAGCTCTCTAAGCAACATTTCTATCTATAAAATCAGGTAATGACACCCAATTAATCATTAAGTAGCAATTTATTCATCTACTTTTTAAAACACCCATATATTAGTAAGTATGCATTTGAATTTTTCACCTTTATGTAAGTTCAAGAAAACAGTAAAACTACTAAATGTAACTAGGTGAAAGAAAGAAAGAAAGAAAGAAAGAAAGAAAGAAAGAAAGAAAGAAAGAAAGAAGTAGGGAGGGAGGGAAAGAGAAAAGAAGAGAAGGGGAGGGGAGGGGAGGGGAGGGGCGGGGAGGGGAGGGAAGAGAAAGAAGCCCTACAAAATGTTAGGGTTATTTTGTCTTGGTTAGTACTGTTCCATAAAGAAATAAACTTCACTAAACAAGGACACTATAGGGCCAAGAAAAATGTCTTATTTCAAAAGCCTCATTCAGCCTTATTCACTGTGGATAGATGACATGGGACATACTTGAGATTAAGCAGAGAATTAGGAATTTATTTTCCCCTGTATTCTATTTTTATAATATTTATTTAAAAAACCCTTTCTATTCTCTGTTTATTTTTTTTCAGCTACTTCTATTTCACCTATATCTTTCTCTATAGGTCTATTACCTTGAATAAAAAATAGCATCCATGTAATTTTCTATAATTTTTTCTTCCCTGTAGCTTATTGTGACTTTGATCTCAGTTTTCAAGACATATGCCTTCTCTGAGAGAAACATAAATGGCTGATCAAAGTGTATTTGCAAAGACCAAGTTCAGGTAGATGAAGCAGTAGCCTCTCCACATATTCTATTTGACAATACAACATTTGGCTTGAAATTAAATTGCTAGTGAAGCAAAACAAATGATATATTTTATATTAAGCTTTGATGTCTAAGAGGGATCAAATGACAAGATTTGTTAGCACAAAATAATAAGATGCATGTACAGGCAAGTACTTTTTTAAAGTGGTAAACAACATTCAACTTAGGAGTTAAATGGGACCACAGTTATTTTTGATAAAAACCCAAATCTCCTATATTTAAAAATCCTTAAATTGGTAAATGTTGTTACAACATAATGAAAATAGAATGGAACATCCAAGAACCACAATCAAAAGCTGAATTTACAGAGGAAGTCTCTCCAGACATCATATTTTATGAAGGACAATTGGTCGAGTAACGTAATCCACAAGGTTCAAAGTACAAGCATAAATAACAAGAATCAGAATTGTATTACCCCAGGATAGACTCCAAATTATCCCTGAAATATCTGTGTCTGCAGCTTTTCCCTGTTGCTGAAACCTAATGAATTTTTACAACATGTTCACTGCATAAAAAGGGCAAGATTAATTTAATAGCAAAAGGCATATCAGAGCAAAATATGTTCATTGATAATATTTGATTTTTTATAAGTTAAGCAGAAAATGCTATTAGAGCAGCTTAGGTGTTTGTTTTTGCAAGAAAATATTTAGCATTCCTGTGAAAAGCTAACAATACTTTTGCATTTAAAGTAAGCTTTTGTTTAAAAAAAGAAAGATTATTTATTTATGAAAAGTACATGTGAATTACATATGGTCCAAATGACATAACAAATTTAAAACTCAGCAAAATTTACCTGAATAGTTACATTTAGCTTGAATAACAAGTATGAAAACAATGTACTGCATTCATGAAATTCACAGTTTACATGGCTGCCTAATCCTATGAATTCATATCCTCAAAAAGTTAAAATCTAGTATAAATTTTATTTCAGGGTTTACTTTTTATTCTACTTATTATAGAAATGTTAATTTATCTTGGTCTTACACATGAAAATAATTTTTTATGTCTTTCATGATAAGTTTATTCTGTTTTCTCTGCTTTCTTGAGTTTTATTGACCTTAAGGTATACTTTTTCAGTTTCTTTTTAATTTACTCTATTTATTATATAGTATATATTTTGGTTTCTTGGGTTCTTGATATTTTTTTCTCTCTAAAAATGTAAAATTGCCCTGGTTGGAAAGGTTCAGTTGGTTGGAATATTGCCCCATAGACCAAAAGGTCACAGGTTCAATTCCTGGTCAGGGCACATACCCAGGTTGCAAGTTTGATGCCTGGGTGAGGCACATATAAGAAGGCAACCAGTCAGTGATTCTCTCTCACATCTGTATTTCTCTCTCTCTTTCTCCCTTCTTCTTTCTAAAAGCAATGAAAAAAAAGTCCCTGGGAGAGGATTTTAAAAAATGTAAAATTCATTATGAAATTCACCATTTATATTGAGCATCTCAACAATATTATTTGTAGGTAAAAGTTATTTTTTAAAGATTTTATTTATTTATTTTTAGAGAGAGAATGGAGGGAGAAAGAGAGAGAGAGAAACATCAATGTGCGGTTGCTGGGGGTCATGGCCTGCAACCCAGGCATGTACCCTAACTGGGAATCGAACCTGCGACACTTTGGTTCGCAGCTCACGCTCAATCCACTGAGCTACACCAGCCAGGGAAAAAGTTATTTTTAAAATATCCACTTCAGAAATGTCTTGTCCTGTTTCAATGATGTAGCTTTAAATTTCAATATAAAAATGACATCTTTTAATATTTTTCAATAATATATCTAAAAGATAAAAATAAATAAGCAAATCCACATTGTTTAAATTTGTAATCAGTTTAAATAGTGAGAGTGGCTCTTTGGGAAATTTTACAGTGAAGTCAGATCACAAACAAGAACCAGACTAATGAAGAAGGATGCCCTTCTCTGAAGTTAATGCGAGCTTTATGAGTTAATGTGCATCTGTAAGAGTTAGGTTTCTGATTCTGTTGTTAAATCTCCAAACACAACACTATGAAGACACTCACATACACACATTCCCTAAATTTTGATTAAAAGCTAAAACATACCTGCTATTTTTCTCTACTCTGTCATGGAAAAAAAGAGTGAAAACAGTAATAAATCAAACCCATATTTCTTTACTGCTTAATGCATTTTGATGTCACATGGGCAAAAAAAAATGTCAAAAGCTAGTGAGCACTATTTTTTTCCCCATCTCCCCTCGCCACTTTTTTTTTAACTCCAAAAAAGGCCAGATTGCTCAAAAATGTGTTCCCTGGTTTGAAACCATGGATGTCAAGTTTCAGCCCAGAGCAAATTTTTATGGCTGAGTAATAAATCCCTGAAACTCAGGGTTCATAATGGAAGTGCTGACACAGCCCTAACGATGATGCAGCCGTGTGAATGGCGCCACGATTATATCTGCTAGAGAATCTTTCAAAAGTTGGCAAAATATTGTCTTGCTTTGAAAAAAAAGCCAGGGAGAGTTTGATGCCAACATAAACATGCTTTTAACCCATTATGTGTTAATTTGCGGAGAAGCCATTAATAGAAACAAAGGCACACAGTATAGCAGTAATAGAAAATGTGTTTTCAAACTTCTTTTTGACTTCGAACAGGACTTTAATCAATTCCATGAAGCATGAGTAACAGTTGAAATTGGAGGGTGTTTTTGCTCAGAAGTGAAGGAGGAGATTGCAATGCTCTGCCAGAGAAGACAATTTGGAGATTGGGGTTTCAGGTGGGGGTGGGGGTGGGGGTGATCGGTGCCAGGACACAGGAAACAGACCCTGGCTCCTTATCACACAGTATATCTGAAGGGTATTTTGCAAAAGCAAGAAAAAGGTGTTTTCATAAATCCTGATTCATTTTGTCTTGTGCTACACCTGTGTCAATGCCATTTTATTCATCAGCTTAACAAAATATGTTGTGAGCAGAAGTTTAAATGTGAAATCTCTTCCATCAAATCCATTTTGAATCTCAGGAAAAGTAACTCTTGTGTCTGCTGTGGATGCTACCATTAAAGATGCTGATTCCATTCCCTAACCTCAGGTGTACCCTAGAACTTGGAGTGATCAACCTCAGTGCCTGAGCCAGCTGAAGTGGGTACACACCACCCACATGTGGGTCGACCTTCCTACGGAAGTTCCCAGTGGCAGCCGAGTCACACGCACTGTGCCAGAGCTACAGGCGTAAAATTTTAAATCAAATGGGCTTCTTATAAGAGTTACCTTGGGCTATATTTGGGACACATAATAGGAAATATGGAAAAATCTTTTAAATCCACACTCTGTTCTTATGAACACTCCACTGCCCAGCAAGAAGGACAATTTCAATATTCTCTTTTGTCTCCAAAGCTGAGAATCTCAAGGGAGTATAAATTAGATTTTCAGGGAAACATCACCTGTAGTATTGTCCTCCCCTTCCTTTGTCCTTGTTATAATTTTTTAATTTTTCAATTACAGTTGACGTGCAATATTATATTAGTTTTGGGTGTAGACCATACTGACTAGATATTTCTATACCTCACACAGTGATCACCCTGATAAGTCAGGTACCCAGCTGACAGCATACACAGTTATTACAGTGTTGCTGACTACACTCTCCAAGCTGCACTTTGCATCCTGTGACAATTTTTCTCTCTCTTACTTCCTTTTTTGTTCTTTGTTTTCTTGTCTTTCTTTCTTTCTTTCTTTTTGCTTTCTTGTTGTTATTATCATTGGGAATATACAGTAGTAGAGTGAACTATGTAATATAATAGTTGATAGCAACTGTCTTACTTTATCACTATCCAGTAATAATTTTACTAGAATCAGTGATTTGTTACTGGAACTGTGGATGGTTGGCATTTTACTTGCTTATATCATTCAACAATACAACTGACTCTTGCTTGGGAGATTAAAGTTTATGTTGCTAAATGTAAGGTATTGAACAATCATAGGAAACCTTCCACAGAGGGGGTCTACATTTAATTTTTGCTTACCTCTAGAGTCCCTTATGTTGACAAAATAAATAGCTAAACTAATGACTCAATATATCTCTCACACCATACCTTCCTTCACTTCCTGTTTTTTGTCTTGATTTTCCAGTTCTGAATCATGGCCAATTTTAGGTTCCACCATTTCCTCATCTTCTTCATCCTCTAGAAAAAAAGAAAGAGAAAAATGAGTCATTATTTTTCCTTCAAATCAAAGTCTTTGGTTGATGGTGGGAGGTAGGGGCAAAGGGTAAAGTTCCAATCATTTAGGGCAACTTCTAAGTAAATCAGTCCACAGTGAATGCCCAAGATATATGTTCATGAATATATAAATAAATTATCTCCAAAAGGGGCCTCTTTGAAAGTCCCCCCAAGTTGCTGGGAAAACCGCCCTGAGTCAGCACCTGCTCCATCCACCTCCAGGCCCTCACCACATGGGATGCCTTGGAATTGCCTCTCTGACCTCTGAAGCTTCTTCAGAGATGGCCCAGGAACAGATTTTAAAATGTTTCCACCTGGGGCACATTCTCCACAGGGGACACCTGCTGTACAGACGACTCATTTCCAATTTAATTCTCACCAAATTAATTTGTTTTTGACCTACAGGAAAGGGTTAAATACAGGTCTGACCCAGGGTCAAATGCCATTGGCAAGTAAACCACCAGGGGTAGGGCCCCCAAAAGTCATTGCCATTGGCCTCAGAGAAAGCAACCAACCCACATGGCATTTACACATTCAGAGCAGCTCATGCATTAATGTGAATTTAATGAGCACTAACAAATGGACCCAGTAGGCTACCGCCACCAGATGTTGTAGTGCCCTTCCTGCCCTATGCAAATGTGTGCTCACTCTCTCTGTGTTCAACCTGCCCCGTCTTGGAGGCCCCTTTCATTGTGGGAGGCTTGGGATCATCAGTCACAACGTAGAAGATGTTGGGGAGAGTCAAAATGTCACAAGAAAATCCAATTTAAAGAAATAAGTGATCTAACAAATTATAACTTGTTTTAACAGTTTTTTAAAAGCATATTACCCCTACTCTTAAGCCTTATATTCACCATAGGCTACAACATAGGCTTTTATTGGTTCAAGTGGAGTTTAAAATAAATGACTTCATTTCCTACCCCATACATTCATTCATATATTCATTCATTCAGCAAATATTGACAAACCTTCTACAGTATCTCAAGGTCTACGGATAGTCCCATTCCCATTACAAAAAACCTTGAGACTTACATCAACTCAAAACTCCAGCACCACCAACTGAGAGAAGTACTGTAAATGCATACTTAAATGCCCAAATAATTAAAAATATATAGCCTGAAAAGCAACTCCAAAAGTTCTCACTGTACTAAGCAAGTAATTTGTGAAATAAATAGTAATTGAAAAAATATGGGTGTATAAAGTATAGCATTGCAACTTAGATATTAAATATTTTAAGTGGGGATTTTCATTGAAATGTAGTACTCTATATGCATGTATATAGGTTGTGGAACCAACCTCATTACTGTATAACCACACTATATACATATCAGAAAAAGTATAAAACTTTTAAGGAAAATTGTCCATTTTAATTAACACATTATTGTTAATACATACCTATGAGATAGATATTTGCTGGAGATTTTGTAAAGAACACTGAGTTACACAGATTTTTAGAGAAATAAACCTTTAAAATGTCAAATAACACATCTAAGACCTTACCCACAAAATAAAGATATCACTGGTACCTACCCACTAAAAACCTACTTGGGAAATCCTGAACAAAACATTCACCAACACATGGTGTATCTCCCTGATCCAAAAACCTAACACAAAGCCCTAGGAGGCACTAGCAGGAGGGAACTTTCCTCTTCTGCTAAGCCTTTCAGGGAGAGGCAGTTTTCAAAAGGACACTGATTTGCTGAAAAAAATGGCCCCATTTCTAACCCTTCTAGAAGCGTACTCTTTAAATGCATGTAATGGATTCAGCAGCAACGTCCTGACAGTAAGTGCAAGTGACTCCAACAAAGGCGACAAGGCCCATGCTGTTGTAGAAACATGCCCCCCCACCCCAATCCCCAATTCATTTGTTGAATACCTAACCCCCAGTAGCTCAGAATGGGACCATATTGGGAACTAGGTTTTTGCAGATGTAATTAATTAAATTAGGCCACACTGAAGGAAAGTGGGGACCTAATCCAGTATGACTGGTGTCCTTATAAAAGGGGAAGTTTAGGCAAAGGCTTCCACACAGGGGGAATGCCATGTGAAGATGAGGCCAAGATTGGGGTGATGCTTCTGTGGGCCGAGGAACATCAAAGATTGGCCGCAAAAGGCCAGAAGCTAGGGCAGAGTCATGGAAAAGGTTGTCCCTGGGAACCCTCAGAAGGAACCAACTCTGCCAACATGGTGATCTCCCAGTTCTAGCCTCCGGAACTGTGAGACGTAAATCACCTAGTTTATGGCACTTTGTTACAGTGGTCCTAGCAAACTTTAAAAAAAGGCCAGTAAAGTGCCTTACTTTCTATGATCTTATGATCTAGTAGAAGAGATACAGGAGATAAACAATAATAATACCCAAGGCAGAGATGAATGCTTTACTTGTATAATCTGTTTATCAGAATTTGGTACCATTAGGCTAATTTTATAGCTGAGGAGACAGAGGAATGCCCCTCCACAAAACAAACAAACAAACAAAAAACAAACAACAAAAATATCTCTCAACCATGTCCACCTTTAAGTTCTATCGGGTTCTGCCTGTTTCTAGTCTATGATCTTGAACCATTATATATACTGCCTTTCTACCCACAGCATGACATGAAATAAAATGCCAAGCAGGAGAAAGATGTAACGTGCAAGCAGGTACGACATTCAGCTGCAGTATACGGAGGGGCTCATGGGGGCTCGTGGGGGCTCCTGGAGGGGGAAGTCACATGGCCTCAACGTGGACCGCTCTCCTACAAATAAGGCTCAACTGAGAAGTCAGGTTTCAATACTTGAGCGCCACGCATGATGGGTGATCTTATGTGTCAAGAATGTACATGTTGTATCCAAATTCTGTTCTCATTTTCCTTTCAGAATCCACTGCCCTGAGACCTGACCAGCCATTCTTAAATACAGATTCCTCTGGCCGGACAAACATACCACCTGGGTCATGAGAAGTAACCGATCTGAGCTCGAGGCTGGAGCCTACCACTTGCTAGTCTCTTGATTATTACACAATTTAGAGAAACCCTCTGAGGCCATATTTCCTCATTGGCTGAATTGGGATAATAATAATCCTTTCTTAAAACATACTGTTGTTTTAAGAATAACCAAATAAAATAGTTGATACGAAATAGCTTTTTAAATCATCAAGAGAGCTGGAAATACCTGTACCCAGAAACCTTCAAACTGGTGTTGCCTTAGCCAGGATGTCAACAAAGATTTATGGAGCACTTACTATGTACCAGGTGCTGGGAATATGACAAAGAACAAGACAGACAAAAAAGAAAATCTCTGTGCTCATGGAGCTTCCCTTCAAGTTGCTGAAGAGAAACCTCAAACCAATAATCAAAACATATATGGCATCAGATAAGTGCTGTGGTGAAACAGAAGGCTGGAAAGGAGCATTGGGTGTGCTGGTAAGGGGAGGAAGAGTCGCAGTTTAAAACAGCGTGGCCAGGAAAAGCCACACAGAGGTGACATTTGAGTAGAAAATTCAAGAAGTTAAGGGAGTGAGCCATGTGGAAATCTTGAGTAAATAAGACTAGTAACAAATAGATTCCTCCAGCTCATTCTGTGGATGAACTGGGTCAAGGTCTAAATTAATTTGTCCTCAGCTCCACTGACGATGGAACTGTGTTTTTATCAGAGCCATCCAGCCTGTACATTCAGAATTTGTAGTTCTCAAAACGAAGTCAATATCACCAGATGACAGCTTTAAATAGTATCAAGTTCTCACCTTTCACAGAAATAAAATGTTCACCTTTCAAACATTAATTTCTGGAAGAGCCAAAAGCACCAGACAGAGTCACTTTGAGCTTATTGGAAAAATATCATTCTGTAAGGGCTTGGCTATAAAGAGGGCCAGGTCTGTGATAGCAACTTATTCATGTGCCAGGTGCTGGGCATAAAATCATCTAATTGTTAGGTCACTGAACATTCTTTTTTATTCTTTTAATTGAATTTATTGGTGTGACACTGGTTAACAAAATTATATAGGTTTCAGGTACACAATTCCACAACAACACATCGTGTGTACACTGTATTGGGTGTTCACCACTCCAAGTCAGGTCTCCATCCATCACCATTTATTCCTCCATACCCTCCTCCTCCTCCCTCGAACTCCTGAGTTATCTAGTTCTTTTTTTTTAAAGATTTTATTTATTTTTAGAGAGGGAAGGGAGAGAGAAAGAGAGAGAGAGAGAGAGAGAGAGAGAGAGAGAGAGAGAAACATCAATGTGCGGTTGCTAGGGGCCATGACCTGCAACCTAGGCATGTGCCCTGACTGGGAATCGAACCTGCGATGCCTGGTTTGTGCAGCCCACACTCAATCCACTGAGCTACGCCAGCCAGGGTGAGTTATCTAATTCTTTAAATAGAAAATCCTTCCCTAGATAATGTTTTTGATGAGTTTTTAAAAAACAAACAAATGTTTGTTGTGTTTATAGTATGCACAAGTCCCATAATGAGATATTGTGAATAAGAGAGAAACACATGGAAATAAGCTGGGCAGTGAGGGACAAATACCATACGATCTCACCTTTAACTGGAAGGTAATCAACAAAAGAAAAAAGCAAACAAAATATAACCAGAGATACTGAAATTAAGAACAATCTAACAATAGCCAGAGGGGAAGGGGGAGTGGACAGTGGGGAGAAGGGTTTTCAGGAACTACTATAAAGGACACATGGACAAAACCAAGGGGGAGGGTGGAAGCAAGGGAGGGAGGTGGGTTTGGAGGGGGTGGAGAGAAAATACAGGCAACTGTAACTGAATAACGATAAAATAATTTAAATTGAAAAAGTTAAAAACATTAAAAATTAACAAAAAGTAGTACCTACACTTTTAAAGTGATTATAAAGCAGCTGTAAGCATCCATTTGCAGTGGCCACAGAATTCTTGGTCTATTGGCCTTTTAAAGACACAAAGTGTTTCAGTCGATGTGTTAAGGAAGTAAAACACAGGAGACTGGTTTGTTTCTC